TTTTTTTTTTTTTTTTTTTTTTTTTTTTTTTTTTTTTTTTTCTTTTTTTTTTTTTTTGATGTTTATTCATTGGGGCAGGGGGTTTCACAGTCCACAGGTTTGACACTATTGACTGACTAAGATGTTGCTGTGGTTGCCAATTTGATATGGCTACCTCAGTGACTGCTCAGTTGGCCACTAGTGCCTTGCATGTGTGGTTGCCTTGGGTCTTGGGCCTCTCCGGGGAGCCACCTCTCTGGTCAGCTTGGACTCTGCCGGGCTGCTGGATCATGGAGCGGTACCACAGGGTGTGTGGTCTCTGCTGAGCTTCCACCTCCCGTGCTGGACTTCTCCCTGTTCCATGCACTCTGGCCCAGGCTGCTGGGATTCGCCGAGGCACCGCAGAGCGTGTGGTCTCTGCAGAGCTTCCCCTTCCCCTGCAGGATGTCTCCCTGCTCTGTGCACATTAGGCTGGGCTTGGGATGGAGCCAGGTGGCGGCAGTGAAGCCTACCTGCTGCCGGATCGTGCAGCGGCAGCCCCCCCACAGGGCATGTGGACTCTATGGAGCTTCTATGTCCCTTGCTGGACATCTCTGTGCTCCGTACACTTTGGCCGGGCTGCTGGATCGCTTGGCAGCAGTGTGGTCCCTGTGGAGTTCCCGCCTCCCGTGCCAGACGTGTCCCTTCTCCGAGTGCACTAGGCCAGGCTGGGAATGGAGCCAGGTGACTCCGGTGAAGCCTACCTGCTGGATCATGCAGTGGTGGCCCCACAGGGTGTGTGTTTTCTGCAGAGCCTCCGCCTCCCTTGCCGTATGTCTCCCCATTCTGTGTGCACTGGGCTGGGCTTGGATTGGAGCCGGGTGGCAGCGGTGAAGCCTATCTGCCGGATCGTGTGACGGCGGCCCTGCAGGGCATGTGGTCTCCGTAGAGCTTCTGCCTCCCCTGCTGGACGTCTCCCTGTTCCATACGTGCTTGATGTTATGTTTTTATAGTTTAAATCAGTTGATTTGTGGGAGAGAGTGACGCTAGGGACCATCTATTCCGCCATTTTGACCGGAAGTTCTAAAACTGTGCAAGAGTTTTTCTACAATATATACCTAAAGGTGGAATTTCCTGGTTATAGTACATACACATGTATACAATTTCATATTCACTACATGATGACAAATAGTTTTCCAGTGTGGTTGTACTGACATTCTTTTCAGAGAATTCTCTCACAAGAATTTGGGGGCTCTCTTTTTAGTGTTGTCAACTTTGTGGTTGTAAGATGTCTCATTCTGGCTTTAATTTGCATTTTCCTGACTACTGATGAGACTGAACATCCTTTTCATATGTTATATTTGGTGGTCTCTTCTTTTAAAAAATGGATTTGTATTTCTTTATATATTCTGGATTGATCGTTTGAAGTTCTCCATGTGAGTAAGCCTCTACAACAGAGCCTCCCAGTTTCTGGAGTAGAGAGCCACATCAGAACTCTCCACAGCCTCCAGCAGACGAGTTTCCCCAGTGTTAGGGTTTTGGCATGGGATGAAGTGGGCTTCAGATTCTGTTTATAGAGCACCGAGGGTGGAGATATTCAGGAGATAAACTCTTCTCTTTCCCCTGCAAAAATATATTGCCAAATAGAACAGTTCTCTTTTCTTGAATTGCCTGTAGCTGGCTCTCTGAATTGTGTAACACACACATTAGAGAAAAAGAAAGAAAGTAAATCGGAGAAAAACTGAAAATCCCTTCATGGGTTTTGTAACAATATTTTCAAGGGTTTTAATTTTAATGTCGTCAGCTATATTAGCACCCAGTCTACAAAAATGATCACAATAATTACACTGGAGAGTCAGAGAATTGAGAGGAAACATGCCTGTTGTTTTCACATAATGTTTTTCTTTGTTGCTTTGTCTTTAGGCAAAGTTTTCCTTTGTTTCTGGAGAGCAGCAGCTGTAGGTTTTTCTCTTTCTTTTATTTTCTTATTTTTTGATGACTGGCAGGTATGGGGATCCAAAACCTTGACCTTGGTGTTATAACACCATGATCTAACCAACTGAGCTAACTGGCCAGCTCAGGTTTTCTTTCTTTAAAGTGATTTTGAATGGTTGAAACTGGTTTTAGAAATGGTTTTATAAGTTTTTTTCAGTTAGAAATGATACTCCCTTCTCTATCGTCTTCTAACCCAAATGGGTTTTGAGCATTCTCAGAGAGTGGCATTAGTTACAAATCTGTAGTCAGCTAAAGATGTTTTAGAATAGCATAAGCAAAAAGGGAATACTTTATAAAGTTCCAAGGATACTTAAGAGAAAGAGAGGATATTAACGAGTCATGTTCTTGGGAACCAATCAGATGCAGAAAGTATTGTCTTTGAATTGTTTATGAATCTCTGCTTTAATTTTCAACCTGTAGCCAACTACCATATTTTCCATCTAGTGTGAGCCAATAGCCCCTAATTCACATTATTCTCTTCAACAGATGTGTCAGACTGTGGGGTCCATTTAGTTCCCATTCCCAATTCTTGGGAGAGAAATCTAACTGGGTTCAGCTTGGGTCAGGGGCTTGCCCACAGACCAATCAACTGTGGCCAGGGGACAGGGTGCACTGTGTGAATGAAGCACCTCTTTCTGCACATTTGTGGCTGACAAGCAGAGGCATACTGGACTAGCTACATAATTTGCAAGACCCTGTGCAGAATGAAAATGTAGGGCTCCCTTGTTAAAAAATTTCAATATAGTTTCCAATATTTTGCAATTATAAACAATACTTAAAGGAAGAGCCTTGTGTATGTGTATTTTTCCATTGTTGGAGGTGTATCTTCAAGTGAATGTCATAGATATATATGCAGGGTCTTCAAAAAGCTCATGGAAAGGTTTGTATTATTTTTTAATTCTATTTTGCCATGAACTTTTGAAGTACCTTCAAATATCTTTCTTCCCTTCCAACCCTTCTTCTCTCCAGGGAATGCAGAACTGTGTTTATGTCGCTGTCTATGTTTCTTTTTTAGTTCTTACAATTTTTGAAGTCTGTAATCCCACTGACAATAGGTGTGGATTGTGATCAAGAGTACCTTTTCTGAGAAAGCCTTCACTCCCTCTTTCAGCCAATACAACTAAACAGTCTTTCCCATCCTTTCAAGTCTGTCTCGTACATCTCTTGAATGAATTGCCTTCGGATTGTGATCAAGAGTACCTTTTCTGAGAAAGCCTTCACTCCCTCTTTCAGCCAATACAACCAAACAGTCTTTCCCATCCTTTCAAGTCTGTCTCGTACATCTCTTGAATGAATTGCCTTCTTTCCCCCCCATTACTGTGTCTTTTATTCATGTCTTCCTCATTTCTCCACAGGATTACTGCAGTAAAATCCTAGTGACTTTTCACACCTCTAATAAATTCCTACTCTGCACTGTCCTTGAGTTTTACTTCTTAAACACCAATGTGATCCGTTATTCCTTGCTTAAAAATCCTACAAGATGAATATACCCCCTCCAAAAAATAGGCAAAGGACCTAAACAGGCTGCCTCACAGAAGAGAAAAATATACATTTATACGCGTGCAAAGTTGTTCATCCTTATTAAGAAATACATGTAACAACATTTTTTTTCATCTATAAAATGGGCAGAATTTAAGGGAATTGATAATTACAAATGATTGCAAGAGTATGCAGAAATACTCGTATTGTTGGTAGTCCAATATTTTGGATGGCATCTTGGCAATGTTTTGGGTATGTGAAGGAGTGCAAACTGCTTAACATTTTTGAGCCTCAATTATTGTATTAGGTTAAATGGTGCTAACCTACCCAATAGACTCAAGGAAGTGACACAATTTAGGGGAAAGTGATTTGTAACTAATAACTAATATTTACTGCGCGCTTGCTATTTTAGGTGCTTTATATGTTAACTCATTTAATCCTCACAATAATCCTGTAAGTACTATTATTATCACCCCTATTATACCTATTAGAAAACTGAGGCACAGAGGAGAAGATAGTGCTCAAGGGGTGGGGTTAGGGGTGGAGCTGGGATTACTGGCACTGTATCCACACACGGGGTCCAGCCCGAGTCCTATTTTCTGCGGCGAGCCTCCGCAGTTCTTCCCTTCTCCCACAGCATCTATAGTCGTTATTTGTTTCTATAAAACTTGCCCCTCCGTGAGCTACCATGAACTGGATTTCTCTAATCGACTTGTGTATCTCATCATCCCAGTTCTGTCTGACTGAGCGCCGGGGAACTCAGTCCACTTCTCATTCCCATTCTTTTTCACAGTGTCCTGGTCAAAGCTGGGTACACGTAAAACCTTAGATAAAGGCCTAACAAATAATATCGTACCTTTCTGCGGGATTAATGGCATATCTTCACAAATGTGAAATAATTGTCACGCGACTGACACAGATTCACGGCAACTACCCTACAGGTAGGACGAGTACGCGCCTTGACGACGTCAGCGGCGTTCCACACCCAAGCACTAGGGGCCGACCTTTCCCGCTTTCCTACGTCAGTAGGACTTGCCGGAACCTTTCTTGCGGAGTCCGCGGCAGCCCGTCCGGACAATACCGCTGAACGACGTCAGCGGCGTTCCACACCCAAGCACTAGGGGCCGACCTTTCCCGCTTTCCTACGTCAATAGGACTTGCCGGAACCTTTCTTGCGGAGTCCGCGGCAGCCCGTCCGGACAATACCGCTGAACGCACAACACGGCAGGGACTAGTAGGTTAACTATATGCCTAAAGACTTTAACGTACCTACATGTTCCCGGAGAAAATAGCCTTATGTCCTTGCACTTCTTAAAGTTCCGAGTGACGATAATGTTTATATGCCTTAACAAAGGCTATAATTAATTAATTCCGAGAGCGTGTATACTTCTTTTTGGTTAGGCATATATATGGACAGCCCACTTGAAACGAACAAGGAAGGCGGGGGAAGAAAGCGGAAGCCGCCGGGGCCTTCTAAGTCAGAAAGTCTCCGCAGCTTGCGGCAGGCTCTTCGCGGTGCTCCCACTTAGACGCACGACTTAGAAGCGACCGGGAGTGAAGGCGTTGCTGCCGGAGCTGAGACCGGGCGGCCGGAGTCCGCAGGGATGAACCTCGAGTTGCTAGGTGAGGAGGGCTATGGCTACTTCTTAGAAAAACCCACTGGAAAGGGGGGAACTCGGGCGGGAGGGGACTCAGGCTGCAACCTTAGGGACACTTTTCTACGACGGATCATTGGGCACACCTGATGTGGAGCAGCAGCAGCAGCAGGAGGAGGAAGCCCAGGTTCTGCCCGAGTAGAATGCATTCATTCCCTTTACCGAGGCCGCTTTCACATCAGTTGCGGAGCACCAGGGACATTTAGTTCTGACTTAGCTGAGATTACAAGGTCTCAGGTGCTGAAGTAGCCTAGAGCAGGTAGGACCAGAGCTGTTGGAGATGGAATCTGAGCAAATGAGGCATGGGGTGACGCTCTGGAAACTTGTCAGGGGATTGGGTGCCTGGACAAGTTAAATCTTTTTGTAGAAACGGGATGTCTAAGCCGGGGAGCTTGGGCATCTTCTAGTAGAAGTCTCATTGAACTGGTGGGAAAAGGATCAGAGGGTCGTGACGAGGCACTAAGTAAGTAAATAGCATAGTTGGCACTGTAATGCAGTTATCTTGACTTCCGACCTGAGGTTCTTATCTTCCGGGGACGGTGTGTAAAACACTGAGATGTGCATTACAGAGGCAGTTGCCTTTTGTCACTCTCTTTGAGACATTTCCTGTTTACCCCTTAACCAAGATTGTTTTAAAACTGTAGGTCCTTTCGTCTGGACTTTCATTAGTGACATTTAGCATGGCAGCCTACGGATGTCTGAGGTTTTCAAGAACTCCCGCACGACTTGCTGTCTTTAACGGCTGGTTTCTCTAGAAAAAGGAAGGAATCAGATGTGCTGACTGTTCAAAGCGCTCCAAAAATATTTAAGAAATGGTCTTTGCCTTTTAAGGAGTTTTTTTGCTAAGAGTTTTAAGTTTTTGGAGTTTAAGGTTATTATGTAAATAGCATAGGATATTGCAGAAAGTAGACAAGCCTATAAGAGTCATTATTAAGTGCTAAGAATGTTTAGAAGAGGGAGTGAATATCTTTGGGGCAGAGAAGAAAGGCAGGAAGAACAAACCCCAGAATACCTGTGGAGGAGTTGGAGGTTTGTTTTTGTTTGTTTTTGCGTCTGGCCAGTAGGGGGATCCAAACCTATGACCTTGATGTTATAAATAGCGCTCAAATCAATTGAGCTAACTGGCCAGCCCCTAGTTGGAGTTTTAAGAGGACATTTAAAGTTGGTAAAATATCAACAGGCTAAAGTTTGAAGATATGGGGAAGAATACTCACTAGGATTATGTTTGAGCTAAGACATCAGTGAAGGAACAGCTAACGGATTCTCCTGTTTGACCAGGTTGTGAGTACTGTGAATAAGAAAGAGAAGGCCAAGAGATGGGATTAGTACCCTCTGTTTCCTGGAGGCTCTTGAATGCCAACTGAAAAGTTTGTGCTTTTTAAGGAAAGTAGGGTAGATTCATTGAAGAGTTGTGACTCGTAAGTAACTCATTTGAAGCTATGATTTTGTAAGGTTTATCTGACAGCAATGTGTAGTTGAATCTTGGAGGGGTGTGAAACCAGTTTGAAGGGCTGGAGTAGAGGAGTGATAAGCAAGGCCTGCACTAGGAAATGAAAATGAAAGACATTGAGGAGTTATAGGTGACAGAATTTGAGAACTGATTGCAAATAGTAGTGGTAAGGAAGACAGTGAAGTGAAAAATGATGGGAGCTAATAATGATGCTATGGATAAAATTCATGGAGTTAGCTTTGGACATGTTGAGTGTGGATCTAGGGTTCAGGAGACAGGTTTGGATTTATGAGAGATTTGTAATCCTACAGGTGGGCTAATTAAAACCTGGTGAGTAGATGACATGACCAAGGGAGAAGAGGGGAGGGGCAGAAAAGTAAATTGTCAAGAACAGAATCTTGGATAATTACCTATATTTAGAGGACAAGAGGAAGAATAAATGATGATGATAATAAATTAGCTAACAGTTGTATAGTACTTATGAGGTAGGTACGTTTTCAAGTGCCTTATATGTATTTATCCATGTAGAGGTAGAAGAGAATACAGGTTGTTGTGGTACCTTCCCATAGAAGCCAATTGTAGAGCAGTTGGAGGTGAGAGCTGAGAAAGGACTGCTCTGTTTAGTCCTTGGCAGCTTGGGGTCCCTCAGCAACTTGAGCAGAAACCAGATTACAATGATTTTAGGAGGATATGGGAGATGAAATAGAGGCAGAGAGTTGATTTTTATTTAAGTTAGGGATGGAGGAAAGGTTAGAGGCTAGTACTTTAAAAGAGATAGCAGGGTCTTGGGAAAGATTTTTCTTGAATGATACAAAAGATTCATGAGGGAGAAACTTAGGAAGGAATATTTAGCAGTGGAAAGTTAGACAATTTAAACAAGGCCTGGAAATAAAGGAAAACAACAACAAAAGGAATTAAAACACACACACAAATTAAGAGGCCTGGATCAAAAAGATAAAAACTTCTGTGGAAATGACTGAATTTTCAAGAGAGAAAGTTAATGATTGCAAATAAAAAAGAGAAAGGAACAGAAGTGATGTGATTGTGGGAGCATACTAAAGGACATCTGGCCAGAGAAAGGAAATGAATGTGTTCTTATTGTGGTGACTCAAATGGCCTATAGGCAAGAACGCTAATTTTACTTTTGCAACCACTTTTGAACCCCTGTTGTGTATTGGGCATATGCACTGGGGATACTAAGTTAAATAAGACAGTTTTTCAAACTTATTTTTTACCACAGCTCACAGTAAGAAATATATTTTCTTTCTTTTTTTTTTTTTCCTTTTTGTCTTTTTTACTGACCGGTAATGGGATCGCAACCCTTGGTGTTGCGCCCGTACTGGGGACCGACAACGGGATCGCAACCCTCGGTGTTGCGCCCGCACCGCGCTCAGCCAGTGAGCGGGAACCGGTCTCCACATGGGATCTGATCTCCACATGGGATCCGAACCCTCGGCGGGAGCGCCGCCGCACTCCCAAGTGGCGCACTCTCCAGTGCGCCACTGGGCCAGCCCTAAGAAATATATTTTCTATCACGACTCATTATACATACATACCTGTATAACTCAGTTTCTCAAAATTATGCTTAACCCTTGTTATGCTCAATGCCCTTTGATATTTTCTGTTTGAATCTATTAAAAAACTTGTTATGACTCACTATATTGATTTATCTATTTATGGTGAATTGAGTCTTACCGTTTGAAAAATACTGAAATAAGATACTACCTTTGCCCTGTATAAAGACATACATAGAACATGGAGGAGAGACAAACATAAGCAAGTAACTGTGGAATCATAATAAATGAATGCATTATGGGAATCCAGCTGAAAGAGCAATTAAGAGCAATTCTGCATTGTTTGGGGGTCTGGCAGTAGAATTTGGGGATGATTTTGTAGAGGAAGTGCCACTTAACCCACACATTAAAGATGCAGTAGGATTTTCCAGAGGGCCAAGTGGGAGATGGTAATTTCCAGCAGAGAGAACAGCAGGGGCAACAGCTCTGAGGCATGAATGTGTGTGGTATGTTCAGGAAATGGTCAGTAGCCTGTAGCTGGTGCTTAGGGTGGGTTACCTGAGTTCCTATACTAGGTGCTGATGGGAATTAGCCAAAAATAAAATGGAAAATACTGGTTGGGACCAAATTGAAATTACTTTTTGAAATTATGCTTAGGAGATTTGTATATTGTTTAGCAAAGAAGGTTTTTAAGCAGCTGAGTGACATTATGTGATTTGGGGCTTAGAAAGTTGGCTCTGGCAGCTTTATAAAAGATTGATTGAGGTATGGAAGACTGGAGTTAAGGAAATGTAGTAATTATGGTAGTGATGGGATGTGGGTAGAGTGGAATCAATTATCTAGACATCTGCAAGTTGCATTTCTCTGAAAGAAATACTGACAGTGTCATCTCTTGTTAGATAGGCAGAATGGAAACTGCTACTCTGGAACTAAACTATCACAATAGGGAAGAATTTGTTGGCAAGTAGAAATTAATAGGACTATTGGGAGAAAAGGTCCATGAAATTTTACAGCTCATGGCAATCATGTCTCTAAGGAGGTGGATGTTCAGTAATTCAGAGAATAGATGTTATTCTGTGTCATGAGACTGGGAGGAGGAAAGCTTGAGAGGCCCGGAAGCCTAAAAGGCAGTTTGGAGAAAGGATCCTCAGCAGGAAGAAAAGGAGGAGGTACTTGAGGAAGCTGGTGTGATTGTGCTGAAAGCTGTCCAAGCTCAGATTCCAAAAAGGCACGTATAAAAGAGGGCCACATATTAGGTGAACAGATGAGGGTGGCATGGGCTTTTAGCAATAGTGGTAGGAAAGCTAGTGAGACTCAAAGCCAAGATTGTAAAAATGAGGCAATAAGAAGGGTCCTCAATGTTATGTGGAGCATGAAGAACAAGGTTGTCTCCTGTTTGGCTGGATGGTGCAACCCCAGGTTCATTCATTCAACACTCTGACAAATAACTTTTATGTGCTTACTATGGACTTTGTAGGCAGAGGGGAAGTGGAATGCTTAAAGTCTTATTTTTCTTTTGCTTTCTCTAGCAAAAAGGATGATATTTTTTGGAACAAATAGGATAAAGTGAAGTTGCTAAGAAAAGCCCTCAGTAGATAAGAGATTTTAGGCAGGTTGTTTAGCTCACATTGCTTGGTTGATTGACATTCCGTGGCCCTGAAGGAGCTTGCACGTTAAGTTGGTGCTCTTTGAGGATTTGAGGAGAAAGGTGCTGAAAGGAGATGGGCAAATTTTGACTTTCAGTAAAGGACAAGTGTGTTTTGCAAATCATAGACTAGTAAACTTGAGGTCAGATTCAGGCAAGATTCTAGAGGCTTTTTAGTGTAGTTGTATTTAAGAATATGGTTTCTGAGTCAGGTCCCAATTTTGCCAGTTTTTAACCATATGAACTTGGGAAATGACAATCTTTAAGCATAACTTTCTTCATCTGTGGAATGGGTTATCATAGTACCCACTTAATAGTGGATTTTGAGAATTGAATGAGATAATATGTTTATAATTCTA